CAGAGCGTACAGATGTTAAAATGCCGTCCAAAAGCAACTAAGTCGAGTTTTGAATGCTACTTTTTCATCCGTACAGAACACGTATTTTTATTGTCATTTGAGCTCCAGCTTACACCTGCAACTCGAGCTGCCTTTCTGATCCGATCCCTTGCTTATAGACCAGCTTTTAACAATTGAGATGACTATATTTTATATTAATTACCAGCTACTATTTGGATTACAATCTATGTGTAATTTTCGGTAAATTTTAAGTGTATGTCGTCGTCGTCATCAGCCTATCAGAGCCCACTGCTGAGCAAAGGCCTCTTTCTCACATGGAGAAGGTTTGAGCATTAATCACCACGCTTGCTCAAGACGGGTTGGTGATTTCAAACTTATAATTGTGAAACTATAAGTCCAGGTTTCCTCACGATGTTTTCCTTCACCGTATGTCAGTGGTGTCTAAATAATCTCAGAAAGTACATATGACTCCGAAAAATCACATTGGTACTTGCCAGGTTTGAACCCGCGCCCTCGGCAACGAGAGGCGGACCCTTTAACCACTAGGCCACACTAAAGTGTATGTAGGTATAAACTATAAAAGGAAATGAATAATTTAACGCTTTGCTTTCAACATTTTCATTCGATTACAAATATAATGTTCACCAACAGTTAGTATTAAATAAATATTTTCATGTGTTCTGTCCGTTAACTATAAACCTATGAAGTTACATTTTCTTTTGTTTCACACTGAAAGATTTTTTCAGTAAATAAAATTATCATTTCATTTTTATTAAACTTTTTCATCGAAAATTTCATTTCTGCATGTATTTACTATCTGAACGAAAAATATGTACTTTGTTTTTTTATATAATTATTTTCAACCTTAAATATTTTTTGCAAAAGTAATTGCTATTAAATATGACATTTATTTTCATAACGTGGCAATATCATAAATTAAAAATGAATAAATACTGTAGGGAAGGACATTTTATTATTGAAGCAGTGTTTTCTTTTGTCCGCAAATAAGACAAATTTATTAAAAGGTCTTATAAGTCTAGATTCTGAATGTTTCATTAAATAAATAAGTATATAAAAACTTGCTTGTTTCTGAGAGAGCACTTAGATAATTTAATGCAATTTAATTAATAGAAACACGAAGGATTCAACTCGAAAAATAGTACAGTATTATGATTGTAAATGTAATCTCGGAAATTATTCAATACATAGATCCTAGAAAATTAGGGGAAATTATTAGATATTTCTTGTAAATATATTATTTTGATAATGTATTAATGTGTTATGGAACTATCCCTACAGTTTTCTTCGACACAAACACACATGTACAGACACAAACACACACAGGCACACATTATATACATATTATGACATATTAATTTAGTTTCTTCGTCATGTGTAAATATATAGATAAGTTGTTATATGTCATGTCTGCATTATATAAACAAAAAGACTAAACTGAGGTAATATAAATTTTGAGACAACCTTCTGTTTCATATTATTTAGTTTAGTAATTCATGTTTATATAACTTTTCGTAATAAATATTTCAGAACTTACTAAAGCTTTGAGCTTTGAAGCTAGTTTAAATATTACAAGGATTTTTTTATTTAACACAGTATAAACATCTACAGCCAATTGCAACGTCATTTTTAATTTGTAACTCTCCATATTTTCTCTGATGATAAATTTCATTAATTAAATATATTGGTACAACTGTTCCGCGCTATTGGTTTTACAAGACCTTATTCACATCGCGTTGCTATTTAATATGAAGGTGCCGGCACAATTACATTTTAAAAGGTTGAGTTATAACTTCAGCAACAAAGTCGTAACAAAGATTTCAGATTGAATAAGAACATGTTATGAAATAACAACTTTGAAATAACTTAATATTCGCTGTTCTGCCGAAAGAGACTTAAAGAGTTAGGTTTAAGTGGTATGCAAACCATTTAATTTTCGCCTCCTCAGTTAATATAAAAAATATTTTAACATACGTTGATATTTATTTTGTACTCTGAGAAAGGTTATTGAATGGACTTTTCTAGCAGTTTTTCTAACATAAAAGTGGTTCATTACGACCGTAATAACCCAAGATTAAGTAATTAAAATTATGTCTTAATAAGTATATAGATTCAGTTCCTATTTCTTGGTAGTGAAAAAAGGCAATTCTATTTATTTTAATACATTAATATAAAATGACTACTGCAAAAAAAACATACTACTACATTCACACCCACACAAAAATATATGTACGCAATACACACAAAAATTGTGATTGGTCATTCAGTCGTCAGTTAGCCACAAACGTAGGAGCACGCTTCGTCATTCTATTGCAAAAGTATGTACCGTCAGCATGTTAACAAAAAAGCATTTTCATAGTAAAGTAAATAAAATATCAGTTAATATTATTTAAAATTCCGAGAAAAGCAATCTTTATTATTAGTTATTATTTATGGAGGTTAAGATAGAAATATATTCTCTTTATTTAATAGGGAAAAGAAATTATTGCAAGTGACTCAAATTTGAAGCGGAAAATGGAATAGAAAATTTAACTAATGCTGAATGGCGAACTGCCCAAGCCTGTCATGGTGTCTGGAAATTCACGATTACTCAAATATTGCAAAACAAAATATAAACAAAATGTTTGTCATAACTGAATTTAATTTATGTTTCAAATTAATTTTTAATTGTCATATAAAACTATTTTTAACTGTAATATAAAAAAAAACTAAATTGAACAGTAAAATAAATACTTTCAAGAAATCTCAGGTCTCACTAAATACAAACTTAAATCATTAAAAACTTAAAACAACAATTTTAATGCCTAAAAAAACGACCAAATCATTATTTAAATCTATGAATTCCAATTGTAGACTTAGTAGTTGTCCAATTTGGAGGGTCCAACTAGTCATAATTGTTTAAACAGCGAGCAAGCGGATTTCTTGTTTCATACAATGTTCTAACGCTGCTCCAAATATTTAACATATAAAATTTTGCATACAAATCACAGTTTACGTAAAAGTCTTCGCTCCCACACATACAACCTAACATCATCAATATTGGAACTCACACATCTAAATCTAATAAAAAAATTAAGGGACGCGTCATTTTAGTTTAGACAACCTATAACACTACAGTCAGTGGTGGCCTAATGGTTAACGGGCTCGCCTCTCGTTGCCGAGGGCGCGGGTTCAAACCTGGCAAGTACCAATGTGATTTTTCGGAGTCATATGTACTTTCTGAGAGTATTTAGACATCACTGACATACGGTGAAGGAAAACATCGTGAGGAAACCTGGACTTATAGTTTGACAATTATAAGTTTAAAATCGCCAACCCGTCTTGAGCAGGCGTGGTGATTAATGCTCAAACCTTCTCCATGTGAGAAAGAGGCCTTTGCTCAGCAGTGGGCTCTGATAGGCTGGTGATGATGATGATGATGATACCACTACATATTTTTCTGTGTTCGTTTGGTAGCGTGCGTGTGTGTACATGTTTGTTCAGGGTATGTGAGATCACGGAGTGTGTGTGTGTGTGTGTGTGCTAACAAGTATTTTTATTTGCGTGTAAAAAAAATAAAAAAATATTAAATAGTCTGCCGCTTTGAATAAACGTGTTGCCGTTTATACTAAAAATAAAATATTTAAAAAAAGACAAGACATTGAAGCTCCCCTCACCCCCTCGAGTAAACGAGTAAGTTGCTATTTTTCGTTTCACTCAGTTCTCGCTACGTCAAGCTGTGACTCATTACGCTATCGGCAAATCTAAGTAACCATGAGTTCACAATCACTAAGCGTTAGCGGAAAACTCATAAGCGATAGCGGAAGTGGGTCATCACCAGATTTACGAACATTGGATGACTGCAATGTCACGCTTAGAAAAACGAAATACGGATGTGATTGTGCCTTATTAATTAACGAATTTCGAAAGGAGATGATGTCTTTTTTTCAAGATTTTACAAAAACGCACCGCGAATGTTCCTTATCTTTACAGAATGAAATAAAAGATGAATTAAAGTCAAATAATGCTGCTTTAGAATCTTTAATATTGGAGCAAAACCAAAATGAAAGTCGACTTAAAACAAATGAAGTCACTAACAGATACTATAAAACAAAAAATACACGTACTTGAAAATGATATTTGTCTTTTAAAAAATAAATCTAAAACTGATTATCCTAAAGAATATCCCCTGTCATGCGAAGAAACCATTTCAGAGTTACAAGAACGCTCTCGGCGAGGAAAAAATGTCATACTAGTACATAGGGATTCCTGAAACAAAAAGTCCTAGTAGCATAATCAGACGTGATTATGACAAGAAGGAAGCTATGAAATTAATTAAAACTATTTATGAGGACTGCCCAAACCCTACTACAGTCTTTAGGCTAGGAAAATACAACCCTAATAAAGATAGATCTCTAAAAGTGTGCTTCGAGAAAAAGGTAACTGCAAAATATATAGTTAAGAATAAACACAGACATAATTTAGACAAAATCCGAATTTACGCCGATCAAACTCAATGTCAACAACAACATATGAAAAATCTACAAGATGAACTGGTAGCCCGACAAAAAAATGGAGAAAAAGACCTTATTATAAAATACATAAATGATGTTCCAAAGATTGTAAAGTATAACCCAAAAAACAGTACGCGCCAGGGACCAAAACTGTCAAAATAAATAGTCAATATAACGAAGATCTTAATATTAGCTATCAGAAACTGAATTGTTACGAGGACATCCATGAAACTAAATCATCATTAAAAATTTTATATACAAATATAAGAAGTCTTGTAAAAATTAATAAATTGGATGAAATAAAATGCACACTACACTCAATAAAAAGCATTATACATATAATTCTGATTGCCGAAACGTTTCGCACACTTTGTTGTACCGTTTCCCGGTAAATTTCATACTCCCCTTTCTTAGAGGGAAACTCCAAGCAGCCTGCACTCCCTGCGGTGATATGGAGCGCTGTGTGGGATTCGAACTTACTTAAACGCCTTGGGGTACATCATAGCCTATGTGAAGGTGCTTAAGGATCCTACAAACTCTGGCTACCTCAGCACTGCCGGCCGAACATCCGCTCTACAGGAAGAACAGGAGCAGGTGGATACGCAACCGTGCTTTCGTCAGTTAAAGGTGTGGCCAAGTGCGATGTCGAAGGGTGGCGAGGCGGAGGTAATTTCTCATCGCACGCATCCTTCTTTGTCTGCGGAGTAACGGAGCGAGGGGGTCTTTCTCACACTCTCTCTCCGCCTTCTCCTTCTGCGGAATAACATCTTCGCTTACGAGCATGGCCTCTAACGCTCGAAAGTGAGAGATTGGGATCCATCAGAAACACCCATGTCCAGAGAGTACTTGCACCATACGAAAACTGACAAAGCCGTAATTTCTACGCAACCACCTATTCAGATACGGGCGGATAGTATCCAACTCTCTTCGACCATAAGTGGAGGGTTGGCACCGCTTGGCGCCCAATTGTGGCGCAAATTTCATACTTCTTCTTCGTAATCTACTTAAGTTTTTTAACCCAAATGAGATCGTTATTAGGTAAATAAAACATTTATTATATATTGCTATAATGTCTATATTAATAGTGAATAATAATAATTAATGAATGAGAAACATGAATCTATAATAGCCACCACTGACTGTAATATATTTTTGACAAAGGCATACATGTCTGCAGAAAACTATGACAATTTTATTCTGAGAACTGGTTCGACTCTTAGTCGGTTTCTGTGTTTATTTTTGAGGTAAGATAGTTTTAAAAACCCTGCTTGACATTTTAGGATCGGGTAGAAGAACCTTTTAAAAATAATAAAGAAAAAATAAAATAGTAGAATGAAACCCATTAGAAAAGGAGGGGAAATATGATCAAAATTAAAGGAAAAATTATTCACGGGCGATCTGAGCTCGGGAAGGGTATGGGGGCGTGACTATTTAAGGGCAAAAACGGTTTTTCTTTATTTCCGGCAAAACTAAAAGTCATACTGGAAAAAAAATAGCAAAGTTGTAGGTAATAAAAAGATCTAAATATTTTGGATTTACACTTTTTTTTCTTCAAAATTTATGTGAAAAATTCAAATAACCAAGTTTTTGGTTTTTGTTTTTATCTATTAAAAAAAAGTACTTTGTCACTATTTGGTGAAAGATTACCTTTTTATGTCCCAAATACAGTGTTGTACAATTGGGAATTTTTGACGACAAGATAATTTAAAATCTATCGACGGTTTTGGCTCGATTATGTCCCCTAGTGCTCTGTCCCAAGACAGTTTAATTCGACATTTGAATCTGTCAAATTAGTTTGAAACTCTAATGTGAATGGGTTTCTTATCCCTTCTTTGTTGCTATTAATTATAGTAAAATATTCGTTAAGATTTGTCTCCAGACCCAAAAAAATCTTGATTTCTGGGAACGAGTTTCATATAGTTTATGAATTTGACACACTTTTGCATTGTTGCAGTTAAAGGCAAAGTAATTTTTTGGTCTGCCAAGGCCTCTCAGTGAGTACATTAGTTAAGACATTACTGAAACATTGTGCTGCATATTATTTTAAGATTTGTATCTGAAGCATCTCCTACGTATTTAATGTGTGGAGAGTATAGTTTTGAGCTGTTCTATAGTATTTAATATAATAAAATGTTATATAAATCGGTAATATTGTTAATGTTTAGATGGCACTAAGAGCAGACTTCGTGAGCGCTGTCGTCGGCCCTTATACCTGCCAAACTGGTTCCCGTCCCTCATACCGTTCCCCTCAACTCCCACTACCACTTGTGGTGAACAGTTCATATCGGGGTTTCCCAAAATGCATAATCACCTTATTGCAATATACTTATTTGATGCCATACAAAATTTAGGAGGAAAGATTTATATTATGACTAGAAGACCCGGGGAACTTCGTGTCGCCCTACAATCAAGAAATATCTATTACGTTTTTTTTTATTTATATTTTTGGAGTTTACCTATTAAAGCCATAAATCTCTGTGTTTTGAAGTGCGACAGAATGATTGACATATTAGTTGTCAAATCTAATGTCAAAAAAAACGTTTGTATCAACAACTACTAATAAATTAAAAATTAATTAAAAAAACATTGTCAAGCGGACACAATTGTGAATGTTAACAATTCCCAGATCCCCTTGAACACACACAAAAAATTTCATCAAAATCGGTCCAGTCGTTTGAGAGAAGTTCAGTGACAAACACACTCACAGAAGATATATTAAAAAACTCTCTTTTTATATTAAAAACAGAATGGTAAAAGTTTTCGGGGTCATCTATTCCTTGTAATTTTTACAATAAATAAAATAAATACGTATTTTTCATTAAATTTTTACACTACTCGGCCAAAAGTTCTCACATTAAAAGCCAGGCACGCAGAAAACCCAAGATTGAGAATCTCTGCATGGTACCTTTCACTTCAAAGCTACCTGGCCAGTTCTATTGAAACCAGCAACGTGTCTGCCCTACCTGAAGCTGGCTATTGTTATTAATTATAGAAACCCCCATTGACTATATATAATGAAACGTATATTTTACCTGCCCTGTGCACAACAAATGCCTTTATTGATTTTGCTAAAATTCCTAACCCCGGCTGCCAAACACGTCCCCATTTGATAGCAATAATAATGTCCATTTAATGTATTAATAAAATTTTGAGTATTTTATAAACCTTAAACGTTATTGGATCATTGGAATGATACATTTTAATCAAAATATTTTCAAATTCATCTTAATTTTATTTTACAAACCACTGCAAAATTTGCATACTTATTTCTATATAGTTAGATATAATATAAGGAAAAAATAATTTTAAAATATACATTATAAGCCGTAGAATTGTGAGTTATTTCACAGTATCTTATTTTTTATCATTCACTGCAACAAAACATACACGATTTTAAGATTTAGGTATACACAGCCAACCAACGGGAGGCAGGCAACACGAGTCTACGCTTACGTCAACACGGTTTTAAACTTAGGTGTGAAAACATTTTGTTGAGACCCTTATCAGATGATAATGTTTAAAACAACTAAGAACCCTTCTAAGCAAATTCAGTCAATGTTAGCCTTTGCCTTAGATAATAATTCTGGTCACAAGTTTTATGAAAAAACTGTAAAAGATTAAATTAGGGTCACAATACTGTAGACTACAGACGGTACTTCCCCGTCTGAATAATTTATTGCGCTTTGTCTTTAATATTGAATTGTAATATATATTGGGAGAAGGAAGAGAATGTTACATGAGATCTTACAAAAAAAAACTGTGTATACTTAAATGAAAATAAAACTGCCACAATAAAGCCCCTTATTCGAAGGGGAGTTGAAGTTCCCCCTATACTATCCAGACTGCCAGTTCACACTTACGTTTGACAGGCAAAAACTATCCTATATATAGTTTTAGAAAATCTTTAAAAATTCAAAATGGTTAAAGGTTCATTAGCTCCATATTGGAAGTGTTTGTAAGCGAAGCTACACTTATAAATAGCATACGGGTCCCGGATGTGATGAGGACGCCACATGTCAATGCATATGGCGTTTGAAACGCTGGCTTTAAAAAAATCAGTCGATTAATCCGCTTCGGAACACAAAATCCGTGAGGTTACCGTTCGAACGATTTGAAGTTGTTGCCTGTTTCGTAAAATTTTATGGATAAATTTTTATATTCGAGAAGGTTTGCAACCGGCTTGTTGAGGAATATTTTTTCCTTTTTAATCCCAAACAAAAGATGGCTCATCTTAAGATGTACATCGTTAATAATAATATAGTACATTATAAATATACTGACAACATCTTCTGATACAACACTAAGAAAGTAATTTATTTTTATCTTATTTTTGTTTCGAATACGCTTCCAAGAATTGAGTACACATTAACGTTCCATCAATCATTATTAAATTTAAATAAAAAGTTTTTATACATAAAAATACCTACTGTAAAACAAAATTGGATAACTAATACAATCGCTATTGTTATTTGAAATATCAAATTGAGAAAGTCTCGTAAGAGGTATGCTTAATTAACATGTGCTTAGAGCATGTTGAAGTCGACATGTCATCGCATGAGTGGATGTATATAACTACAAAGTTAAGTTATGAGTAATACATAAACAAGTCAAGGGCTTTTAAAATATTTATGCTCAGGTTATATTTGATAGCTGTCTAATAAAACCTCTTTTTTTGTAAATACTGAGTTTATTCGTCGAATTAAAAATAACTAATTAGTGTAAATACAGAATGGAATAAAAAAATGGGTTTTTACGTCGTGTGAAAATTTGGAGATGCTTTAAAAATACATTACTAACAACCAGTATACAATACATGCCGTTATATTAAATATGAGCTGTTTCTAAAAACCTTGACATTACGTATATATGCAAAACACTGCTTTATTTGTGCGAAGACGACTGAATTGTTCTTGTACTTAATAAAAATAACCTAAGACGTGAAATCCGCAACAGTCATACATTTAATTCATTATAAGCTAAATATAATGAGGTAATGAGCACAGCAAAAGTCATTTATTTTCTTTGTCTATTAATACGTAACTTTTTTACCGTATTTCGTTACATTAAACCAGGGGTGTCCAAACTAAATGGGACCGAGGGCCAATTAAATTGATTAAATACATTGGTGGGCTGCAAAATACATATTTATAAAAATAAAATGCTCGTAATAATAATATCGTAATTTTATTAACTACTTTTCCATTAATTTGTCTTTTATAATTTTTTTCAATATCAACCTCAATATTAGTAGTAGCTAGGCGCAGTGCATGTTTAAGTAAAGTATCTGTCATTGAAGACCTGTATTTCGATTTAATTATCTTCATTGTTGAATATGCACTCTCACAAAGGTAGGTACTGCCCATCATCGGGCCCATTTTTTGCCCGAAATTCGCCAGTTTCGGAAACGTTCAGCGAGGAGCTTAAAAAAATCTGTCCGTTTCTGTTCTGCCCTTGTAAAAGGGGTCTTATTGCAGATCACACAGTTCTAGTTGATAATCAATCTTTATACTCTCAACTGCAATCGTTAATGGATTAGTGTGCTATATCACTCTAAATTTTTTGAAAATCTGCAAAACGTCGCTCGATTATTTCGTCTATGTATTTGAAGTTGTCCAAAAAAATGATGTGTGCGACGTGATCGAACATACCCTTTAAAAAAATTGAATTTCATCGCGATAAAAATAATTTGCTCATTGATGTTTTAAAAC